ATCTATCAACTCAAGACTGGATGAAGAAAATGTATTTTTTTAATAAAATGGAGTGCTATTCAACCATAAAGAATGAGAGATTAGGAATCTCCATATTGATTTCCATAGTGGTTGCACCTCTCTGCACTCCCACCAACAATGGAGAATGGTTCCTTTCTCCTCACAACCCTGCCAACATTAGTTGTTGATTGATTTCTTTCTAGGGTGAGGTGGAATCTGTATTCTTTTCATCTGCATCTCTCCAATGATCAGTGATGTGGAACATTTTTTTCATATATTTAATTAATTAATTTATTTATTAATTAATTAATTTATTTATTTTTAGTACCGGGTTTGAACTCGGGTCCTTGAGCTTTCAAGGCAGGCCACGGAACCACTGAGCTAAATCCCTGGCTTTTCATATATTTACTGCTGCTTTTACTTCTTGGTCTGAAAAAGGTCTGTTCCTTTCAGATGCCCATTTTTCAATGGGGTCTTTCTATTTGGGGGAGCTGATTATTTTGAGTTCTTTGTATGTTCTAGATAATCATCCTTTGTCTGAGGAGCAGCTGGTAAAAATGTTTTCCCACATTGTAGGTTGCCTCTTAGTTCTGTTGATGGTTTCTTTTGCAGTGCAGAAGCTTTTTTAAGGGTACGGGAAAGGAAGTAAGGGAAAAGAAAAAATATGAGAAATTGAAAAAATGGTAATAAAGTTTTTGTAAATAGGGAAGGTAGGAGGGGGTGAATGGAGGGCAGGGGTATGGGGGAAAATGAGAACCAAGACCTGTCATGTAAAGGTACAAGATCCCCATGATTAATGTAACTGTACTGTATACCTAAAATGTATCAATAAACTGAATGAGAAAAAAAAAAGAGAGATTAGAAACATTTATAGTTAAATGGATGCACATTGAGGCCATAGTCTCCAATGAAATAATTGCACTTGTGTGTAAATACCAAATAGTTACTCTGGTGTTAGTAACTGAAAGTGTAAATAAGTATCAAAATATATAATAGATGCTGTGAAATACAAAGAAAAGGTGATAAGGCAAGGTGAAGTGGGGGGGGTAGGTGAAAGGAAAGAAAGGAATGGAATTGATGTAAAATGAAAAGTGAAAAAATAAAAAATAGAAACCAAGTGTTTTTGTAAATAGAGATGTGTAAAGTGGTTTAAGGGAGAGCAGAGGAATGGGGAAAAATAAGTAACAAGATATAATACATAAATATATGAATTTCCACTGAGGAATGTTATTATATTGTATACATAAAATGATCCAGGGGCTAAGGCAGGATGACTGAGAATTCATGACCAGTGGGGATGGTGTAACACTCACCAAGTGTCTTTCTCAAAATAAAAAAAAGGAACATTAAATCAAGGTAGCAGTCTACCTCAGTATGAAGTCATGGATTTCAATACCCACTACGAAAACCGTATACTTTTATATTAATTATTTTAGTAGTAAGTGACTATATGAAACACAATTGAAACATCTTTGTAATAGAATTTATATGAGTTTGCTCTAAGTACTCAAAAATATTTTGAAAGAACTATCCTATATGAGTCATTACAAAAATGAACAGTTTTTTAAAAAAATATCCTCACATATCTTGTAAGAATAAAACACTACAATTATTCAAAAATAGAGCATTTTATACCATCAGGAAACAAATGAGAAATATTTAATATTAATATTACTTTGAATGTAGAACTAAATCACTGTCCAAATTCATCCAAGTAGATCAGGACATTGTTGACTATTTTAACCTCCAGATAATTAGATAATGTAAATATATATGCACACATAGCATTGCATTCTAGAAAAACATACAATGAGTATTTGATAACTAAAGAAGAAACTAAATATAAAAAAACAAATTCTTTTCATTCAAATCTTATGTCTCACTTAAAGAAAATATCAGTGAGTTATGAGAGTGGTGGGAGGTCAGACATAAAAATTCCACATCCTTTCAGGGATGCAATGCACGAAATACTAGTATAACCCCTTCCTATAAATTTTGGGTTAAGAAAATTAGCATAAACCTTGTGGTTCATGGGGTGTGATCTTTGCATATTGTGGTGTATAACATCTTTGAATTATATTCACTTGTAAAATTTATGTTCATGCTTTGTGGTATAGAAAAGTAAGGCATATTAAGAAGTACATTGATAGGCTCATGGGAACTCAAAGCACGAGGTTTCAGTTGTGTTCTTTAGTGAAGGCTTTGATAATGCTACCTTTTCTCAGCAGCAATGTGCATTATTGCATATGGACAGTGTCCACCAGGAAGGTTTCCCCAAGCTCAGCAAACAGGGAACCTGGCAGAATTTACCATTTGTCTCCTGAAAATCCAAGTACACCTGGCCCAAAACTTTGAGATCACTGAATTTGCTTACTCTTAAATATGTTACCAAAAATTGTATCTTAGAGTCTGCAATGCATACATATATTGTTGTTAAATAGTATGTGCTGGGTGAGAAATTCAATTGAATAAGACAAAATAGCACTATAGAGTATTTTCAACAAAATTAGAACATATCTAAATAGTTTAATAATTAGGATATCCAAAAAAGGATGAAGGGATATGCATTGAAGTGAAAAGGAATCTTTTGTAGAAATATGAAGCTGAAGTGTATTTGAGACTATTTCCATGTTAATCACAAAGATCTGAGCAAGGGATTAAATTAATTACTACTTTGCACCACCCTTTCATGAGATAAACATTTCAGTTATCCTCTCTCACACAGCACTACTACATGGACAAATTAAGTATTATTTCCCTCAGAGAAAAAATTGAGTATTATATTACAATTATTTTCCTACTACTGAGAGTGGTGATAGGTTTTTCAAATAATAACTTTTTTTCTATTTGCAATTTTAAATTGGTCAAATTCTTTCAAATGACAAATCAAACTTCTTTTACTTTCTGTTGTTTTGAATATGTATCTATACATATAAATAATATATATATACACAGCAAAATGTATAAAATTTCTGTAGTCCAATATACATCATCCATATCGCATATCCACCCTCATATTGCTTTTTTTTCTTTTTATTGAATTTATTGGTATAATCTAGGTCTACAATACAGTTACATTCATTACTGGGATCCTGTATCTTCATGTGACAAGTCTTGGTTCTCATTTTTTCCCCTTGTCCCTGCCCTCTCTTCATCTCACATTGCTTTTTAAATTTATGTATTTATTTACTAGTGTTTTGTTACATTCTAGATATACAGTACAGTTACAAAAATTACTGGGATCTTGTACCTTTACATGACAGGTCTTGGTTCTCATTTTTCCCCTTGTACCTGCCCTCCTATCAGCCCCCCCTCTCCTCCCCTCCCCATTTACAAACACTTTCTTTCCATTTTTCAATTTTCTCATATTTTTTCTTTTTCCTTATTACCTTTCCCCTACCCTTCCCACTTTCCCTACACCTTTAGCCCTTTTCTTCCTATTTCACATTGTCAGTTATCTCATTAGGATCATATGCACTATTATAGTTTTTCACACCAGAGAAACTATTCAGTATTTGCACATGTGTGACTTATTTCAATTAGGAGTATATCCTACACATTTCTCCCCTCCCCATTTACAAACACTTTCTTTCCATTTTTCAATTTTCTCATATTTTTTCTTTTTCCTTATTACCTTTCCCCTACCCTTCCCACTTTCCCTACACCTTTAGCCCTTTTCTTCCTATTTCACATTGTCAGTTATCTCATTAGGATCATATGCACTATTATAGTTTTTCACACCAGAGAAACTATTCAGTATTTGCACATGTGTGACTTATTTCAATTAGGAGTATATCCTACACATTCTTTCTATAGGAATTTTATTTCAAATTGCTTCAAGAAAAAATTCAAAGACTACATGTGAATAAAAAAAAAATACTTCTGCCTCTTGAAAATCTTAACAGCTTGGCTTCAGAAGGGCTATCAGGCCAGGGATTTAGCTCAGTGTTTCCACTGCCTGCTTGGGAAACATAAAGACCCAAGTTCCATCCCAGGTACAAAAACAAACAAACAAAACCAAAGACAAGAAAGGCTACCTAATTCCTCTGTTTTCTCAGGCAGGAATACATCATTATCTGTTTCTTCTTCACTCTAATTGTTACATTCTGGCTTCCTTTTGAACTTTTATGTCTGAAATAATCTCCTTCCTCATGACCTTTGCACTACTCATTTCTCCATCCAAGCAAATCTGCAGATAACATTGCGGCTGCCCGCACCTGTTACTTTGATGTCTCAATTCAGATGTCATCGTCTTTGTAAGTCTTAACTGTCCACCTATAAAGATAGCACCTTTATCCACTCATTATTTGGGCACCTATATTTTCCTCAAAGCAATTACTAGCATATATGAGGTATAAGAATATTTTTAACTGATACATACAAATTGGGCACATTTATGAAGTGCCATGATAATGGATTTTATATAGACAAACGATACAAGATAGAAATACAGATTAGATATACTGTAATGTTCAAATATGTCTTTCTCCTGAAATATTCATCATTTTTATGCTAAAAACATTCAAATGACTTTCTAACTTTTCCTTTTTCATACTTTATTTATCTACTTGGAGATTTCCACTTGAATGTATTGCCAGGACTTTTACCAGCACCCCATACACATTATCTTGATAAGTGCCAGGAATCTTTTAATAACCAGTTTTTATTCCTCAAGAGGTAGAAACATTTTTAATGAAAAGCACAGATTACACTGAATTAAGGAAAAGACAGAGATGAAAATTTTCTAACAGGTGGGACAAGGAATGTTCTAAGGAACAACAGGTATAAAATTAGTCATTTTTGTTGGGCATGGTGGCTCATGCCTGTAATCCCAGCACACAGGATTCTGAGGCAGGAGGATTGCTGTGAGTTTGAGACCACCCTGGGCTACATAGTGAGCTCCAGGTAAGTCTCAACTACATAGGGAGACCCTGTCTCAAAAGAACAAAAAAAAGTCATTTTTTTCATAATAGATACCTACACTGTATGGAACACAAAATAGAACACAAATTTCAGAAATTCTTCTGAGATTTTCAGAGGGCCCAGAACTGCAGCCCTTCATCTTTGGATTTTTCCTGTTCACATATCTGATGGCTGTGGCTGGAAACCTGCTCATCATCCTGGCCACCATCTCTGACTACCACCTGCTCACACCCATGTTCTTCTTCCTCTCCAACTTGTCCTTTGTGGACATCTCTTTCATTTCGACCACTGTGCTCAAGATGCTGGTGAACATCCAGAAACAAACCAAGGTAATAACTTATGAATAATGCATCATCTAGATTCATTTCTTTTCATTTTTTGTAGGATTAGACAACTTCCTCATTGGTGTTATGGCCAATGACTGGTTTGTGGCTGTCACCCCCTGCAATACATAGTCATCATGAGCCACCAGCTTTGTGGATTGCTGGTGCTGGTGTGTTGGGTTACAACTATCCTGAATTCCTTGTTCCATAGCTTTATGGTGGAACACCTTTCTATTTGCACAAAAATGGATACTCCTCATTTTTTCTGTGAACCTAATCAGTTAGTTCACCTTGCCTGTTCTGACACTTTTCTTAATGACATGGTGATGAAATGTGAAGCGTGGCTTCAGGGTGGTGGTGCCCTTGCAGGTATCCTTTACTCTTATTCCAAGATTGTTTCCTCCATGCATGCAATTTCATCAACTCAGGGGAGGTATAAAGCATTTTCCACTTGTGTGTCTCACTTGTCTGTTTTCTCCTTATTTTATTGTACTCTTCTTGGTGTGTACCTTGGTTCTGCTGTTATACAAGCCTCACACACAAGAGCAATAGCTTCATTGATGTACCATGTTGTCACATTGATGTTGAACCCCTACATCTACAGTCTATGGAACAAAGATATCAAGCATGCTCTGAAAAGACTATTTAAAAAGGGATTATTAAACTGTCCACTGTTTGGGGCTAAAAAGGTGCTATTGATCACAAGATTTAATCCCCCCAAAATTACAATATTTGTTCAGATTATAAAAAGAAGTTGTGGGGCCAGGGATTTAGCTCAGCTGTTTGGTGGCCTGCTTTGCAAGCTCAAGGACCCGAGTTCAATCACCGGTACAAAAAAAAAATATATATGTTGTAAATTTTCCTTGTATTTCCTAGAGTTTGAATTTCTTTGATTTGTTTCTGTATTTGTGTAACTCATATTTTCAAGTTGTGTGCTCCCTGTGGCATAGAGAGTGTACTCATTCATCATGCTCTTTGTGTTATTTTCAATTTTTGGATTAGAAATAAGGGAAATTTCTATTTGTCTCTTGGAACAAGGCAGAATTCTTAAGAACAACTTTTTCTCAAATGCTATAGATCATACTGAGTTAATTTTGTTGTGTTGAGCCATGTGTTTAAATACTATGGAAAACATTACACTTAGTGGTGAAGGCTTTTTTTTTTAATAACTTTATACCACAGGATCTTTTGAGACCACGATTTTGCACTAGTGGCTTCATCATTCATTCATTCATAAATGTTTAGTTTACTTGCTTAACTTTTCTTCCTGACAGTGCAGATTAAAGCAGATTAATGTTTTATCATAAATAATTCATTTATCTTTTATAGAAATTCGACTACAGGAAATCAATTCACTTTGAATGAAAGTAAATATTCCTGCTCTGCTGAAAACTTCTAATATCTTATTCTGAGGCTGAGAAGAAAAGAAACCCTTTACTTCCAGATAATTCATAGACCCAAAGACTACTTGCCTACCTCAGTATTTAACAGTGATAAAAAACTTCACTTCCCCCTGATAAGGCTGAGATCATTCACATCTGTAGAGCTATTTTTTCTCCATTTTGTTTGTTTGTTTGTTTGCTTTGCTCTTTAACATAGGCAAAGGTTTCCATTTATATACTGGTATTTCCTGGGCTAGACAAGTAGTTTATTCCAGGGAACAACATTGAAAGTGCATATATAAAACAAAGACTTAGGATTTGGAAAGTGGATTAGAGGTGAAGCATGAGCTACAATGCTAGTATCCTGAATGTGAGGAGTGAATAGAGATGGAGTCACTCAGAATCCATGGGTCACAATGTGGGCAGCATGAAGTGATAGACAAGGACCTTGTCTCTTCTGTTCTTCCCATGCAGAGAGTTCTTGCAACCATCAAGGCTTCACTCATGAAGAACAAAAACATGTCCATTTTATTTTCATCAGGCTCTTTGGAATTTTTTATTCTTATTGGTATATATTTTCAGTACATAATTATTATATGCCACATGGGAAATTGGCATATATCTGTAACACATTTTAATTCTCTTTTGATCCCCTCCCCTTCTCCTTTGTCCCCTCCCTTAAATTCATTGGTCCCTTTGCCTTTTGAAATTTCCATTTGTATACCTCTCCTCTAGTGTTCTTTGAAGTTATGAAGACATTATATAACGGTATTGTTTCCTTACAATGTACAGAAGGTGCCAAGCTGTTTTCTTTTTACTTTAATTAACACATTTTAATTGTATACAGTTATGGTGCAGAATGTAATATTTGGGTGTGTGTACACAATATGTCATAATCCATGCAGAGAAAGTACCAACCATGTCCATCTTCTTAGACATTTATTGTTTTTGTTTTGTAAAAATCACAGTGTTTTCTCAGATATCTTGAAGTATACGTATGTTGCTGTTAACCATAGCCACCCTACAGGGTCATAAAACACTAGACCTTAGTCCACCAATTATATATTTGTACATCATCACCAGCATCTAGTAAAACTTCTCAGCTTCTAGAAGCCACTATTATACCTGATTGCACATATAAGTCAGAATGCAGGATTTGTCTGTGTCTGGTTTATGTCAATTAACATATTTTCCTCTGAGATCACCCACTGCACTGCGCTTCAAAATAGCCAAGCTATTAAATTAATAAAGTATCTATAAGTGAATAAAAGAATACTGAAAATATGATCTACCTACACAATGGAAAATTGATTATCTATTAAAAATAATAAAATCCTCTTCCTTATGGGATGTAGTCACTTGGGACCTTGTCCAGATATTTTATGTGCATGACATGTTACAAAAATTCTAAAATTTTTGGCCAGGCGTGGTGGTGCACACCTGTAATCTCAGCACTTTGGAGGCTGAGGCAGGAGGATCACTGTGAGACTGAGACTAGCCTCAGCTACATAGTGAGTTCCAGGTCAGTCTCAACTACATAGTGATACCCTGTCTCAAAAAACCAAAAAAAAAAAATTCAAAAATTTTTGTGGACACTCTATACCTTATAGAGAACATTTAAGTTGAAGTAATTAGAAAGCCAAACCAAAATAATGACAAAAACAAATTCAGACTTTATTTATTCATACGTGACAAGTCTTGAGTTAAGTAATTGAAGTCTATACCATTCTTAAGGACTTGTTCTGTCATTTCATTTCTCTGTGCCATCTGCCTCAATGTGTATATTTTAACCTCACAGATGCAGAATAACTGCTTCACCAACAGATATTGAATTCATGATCTAGGAGAGAAGACTGGGATTGGCATAAAGGATGGAGTATAAAGGAGAATTCCTCATGGGTCTTTCAAAAATCAAACTTTCAAATGTTGTATCAAACACGCACACACACACAAATGCAATTTGAAAATGTCAGTGAGTTTTCAAAAAGTGAATTGCTACAAGTAGTCACAATTCAGAATTCAGACCAAGAAATAAAAACTCTGCAGCTACTCAAAAACTTGCCTCATGCTCAATTGCAAATACTACTTCTGCTCCTATGGTAACCACACTTTACACAAAAATAGGATAAAAACTTCACTGGCTCTTTGAAGCTGCATACAAATGATATTATACAATATGTATTTTTGTGCCAGCCTCATTCTACTTAATACCATACTAGGAAGTTATTTTGACCATTATGAAGGTACATGTTTTCCATGTAACTCCACATAAAAGACGTCAGCTTATGCCTTTTTGGTCAAAGTGTGAGCTCATGATATAGTTGACAAAAGAATGCCCTTCAGCAATGGTTATGTCCATAAACAATGTTTATGGCTCCACAACCCATAAATATGTTAGTCTACATAGCAAAAAGAAACTTCAGTCAGAGTCAAAATTTAATTTCCCAACAAATTGACCTTAGATAGGGCCATGATATCTCCTTAAATATGCAATAGTAAATTAGATTGAGTGATACAGATTTTCATTCAATCTTATATACACGATTAACCAGTTTTCCCATGATCATTTGTTAAAGAGGCTATCTTTCCTCCAATATGTGTTTTTGTGCCCTTTGGCAAAAATATAGTGACTGAAGGTATGTGGAATTCCGTTTGTACCTTCCATTTGATTACATCAAAATACATTGTCTATTTTTGTGCTATTAACATCCTTTTTTTATTACTTTAACTGGGTAATATAACTTGAAATCCAGAATTGTGATGCTTTCTATGCCTGTTTGTTGGCATCTTCTAATTCCTCATTTTTTCTTTTTAGTTCAGTAAATAATGTTGTTGATATTTTGATATGAATTGCATTAAACTGATGGATCACTTTCAGTAAAATAGCCATTTTAAGAATGTTAACTCAAGAAAAGAAACAAAATAAATGAAAAACATAAATATAAAAAAGAAGTGATAAAAATACTGGAGCATAATCTAGTGGAAATACTTGGAACAATAAGAGTAGGTAAGGGCTTCCTGAATGAAACTCCAGTAGCCCAAGAATCAAAATTAAATGGATAAAGAAACTGTGGTATCCATATGCAATTGTGTACTACTTCGCTAAGAGAATAGATAAGTTGGAGGCACTTTTAGGTAAATTGATGCACCTAACACTGCAGTGTTTTGTGAAATAAATCAGACATTCAAGTTTATTATCACTTTGTCTTGGGTGTATGAGAAATCCAAAGAATTAATAAAGAACAAAGTGGAGGGTAGATATTAGGAAGTAGGAAGACATTTTTCAAATGGGAAGTAAGGTAAGAGATGTAAGGACAATTAAAGTTTTTTACACCAGAGAAACCAGAAATAGGAAGAAAAGGTCTAAAGTTGTAGGGGAAGTGAGATGTGTAGGGAAAAGGAAATAAGGGGAAAGAAAAAAATATGAGAAAATGAAAAAATGGAAATAAAGTGTTTGTAATTAGGGAAAGGAGGACGGGATGAAGGGAGGGCAGGGGTATGGGAAAAAAAATGAAAACCAAGCCCTGTGATGTAAATGTACAAGATTCCAATGATGAATGTTACTGTACTGTATACCTAAAATGTACCAATAAACTCAATGAGCGAAAAAAAAAAGAGAGAGAGAGATGAAGGGAGCAAAGAAGGAAGGAAAGGAAATAAGATTTAAAGGGAAGAAAAGATAAAATGGACGTAGGACTTTTTCAGATGGGGAGAAGAGTTGAAGGGAGTGGATAGGAATGGTAAAAAAGAAGTAAGATACATTATGTACAGGTACAAATTCCTCATGATGAAGGTGATCATTACATATGGCGAACATATAAAAATAATCAAAAAATTTAAAGGTGGAAAAATGTGAAAAAAATGATTAAGTTGCTTTATGTACATGTACAACTCACCCATTATATACTGTAAACATATGCCAATAAAAATGATCAATAAATGAGATTACATCAAAATTTAAAAAATCTACACATTACAGAAAATAATCAACAGGGTGGATAAACAACCTACAAAATGGAAAACTATTTTACCAACTACTTTTCTGAGAGAGTTTTAATATCTATAACATGCAAATATTTCAAAAAAAATAATCTCCAACAAAAACAAATGACCAAATCAAAAAGGAGCAAAGAATCAAGATACTTCTCAAGAGGAAATACAAATGGCCACTAAGTAAATGAAAATATTTATGTTAATATATTTATGTTAATAATTTTTATGACATTAGATAAATGCAAATCAAAATAACTCTAAGATTCTCTTATCCCATTCAGAACACACACACACACACACACACACACACACAC